GTTTTTTCCCGTCGTATTTGGATTGGTCGTGCAACAGTCTGCTGAAGTGTTTTATCCACGCGTAGTGATACTTGTCACCTCGCTGGATCATGAATATATTGATCACGCGACCCTCGGTCATCGGGCTGATCCTGTGCACGATCGTTTTGTTGCCTTCGTATCCAAAGACGTTGATGGCTATGTGGTTCTGTTTTTCGATTTTGGTGATCTGAGATATGGGGATGGGTTCGTCTATACCGTCCCAGTTGAGTCCGTCGTCTTGGGGATAGCTCGAAGGTCTGTTCAAATTAACGTCGGCCGGAAACAATGCGGATCTGATCGCTAACCTTAAACAATTATTACCTCTGTTTTTGACGTTGACCATGGCTTGTTTTTTCTTGTAGTAGGGTGGTAAGTCTAGTTACGATCCGCCTTTGAACGGTATGTAGTTAGCTACGTCTAGATAGACCTTATCGATTCTGTCCACGACCCACCCGGAACCCCTGTGCGTGTAGCGTTCCAGTTATTCTCGTATTGTTTGCAACGAGGTGTCGATGGACGCATCTACCGTCTCGGGTTGAGTCGCGACTTCTTGTTTGCCCCTGAAGTAAGGCTGAACGTTTTCAACGGCACCGTCCGTCTGCTGTTTATCGAGCAACATTTTCACCGTGATTTGAAATTTGAGGCTTCCCAGGTCGTTCAGTTCCTCTTTGACTTTGTCAGCGATCAGAGGTTTGACGTTGTCAATGTCTATGTTTTTGTCTACATTCATCTGCCAGCCTCTCAGATAGTTACCTATAGCGTGTTCAGTGCACACGAACTGTAGATCGACAACTCTGTGCTGATGCAACAGTTCAACGAGCTAGGGTTTCCTCATACGGGAATAACCTACCAGCCCCAGCTCTTTCGCTTGGAGTTTGAGTTGTTTCACCGTGGGAGGAGGTTGTACCGGGTCGTGCAATAGTTCAACTATCCCGGCTTTCCTCAGGCGGGAATAACCTGTCAGCCCCAGCTCTTTCGCTTGGAGTTTGAGTTGTTTCACAGTGGGAGGGGGTTGTATGTTGAGTAATCTCAACAGCTGAGGTTTCCTCAATCGGGAGTAACCGACTACACCTCGTTCTCGTGCAACCCGTTTAAGCTCTCGAATAGTAGTCATTGTTATACTTCATTGTCAAAGTCAATCTCTAATTGGGTGTTCGGTTGCCTTATTTACTGAGGACAAAAATGAAGCGCGCATAAAAACTTTTTTTTTTTTTACTATTTTATTTTCAACATGTGGAAGGGTGGTGATAATAGGTCCACTTCAGCGTTGTATTCAGCTATACTTAAATAGACCATTTCGATTCTGTACTCAACCGGGGGAACACGTTCCAGGTATTCTTGTATGTTTTGTAATGAAGTGTTGAAATACGCATCTATCTCGGGTTGAGTCGCGATTTTTCGTCCACTTGTGATGGGGAAAGCAAACTCACAGGCCCCATCAATCCGCGTTATTTTCAATACGAATCGAAATTTGAAGCGTCACAGGTTGTTCAGTTCCTCTTCTAGTTTGCTAGTGATCTGAGGTTTGATATCGGTGATGGGTATAATTTTGGCTACTTTCATCTGCCAGCTGCTCAGATAACCTTTCGAGGTTCTAGGAGATTGCACGAACTGTAAGTCGGTCATTATTATACTTAGATGCAAGCCAATCTCTAATTGTGCCTCCAGTTATGTAGGGGAGGTAACTCCGTCAGCCTTATCTGCCAGGCTAAAAAAATGAAGCCTTTTTAAATTTTCATTCTGAGGAGGCGCTTACGTTCATTCAAATAATTTTTTTCTTCTCGTAAGTAAGTTGGTTTCGGACCACGTTCGCCCTGTTGGCTCTACATAAACAGTAATGGCATTTCACTCCAATACCACACACGGAGCACGTGTAGTTCACGAAACCATTTCTTATACTCCTCATATGAAAACAACAGTACCCCTCAGTCCTGCATGTCCTACCACAAATCTTGGCTTTCCCCATAAGCACGTATTGACAACGATACGGAGCAGGTCTCATCTTTGTTATATCCATATGAATATCTAGTCTAATTGTTCCACAATTAACACAGTCGCTGCTAGGCCCAGTGCGACGAAGATCAGTTCTCGATTTTTTTGTTGCAAGGAAGGCGCGTAATACTGGGAGAGGGTAGGGGGTTCATCGAGAGGTTCAAGCTGTTTACCGGTTAGCAGGTAATATTCTTTCGCGGCGTCATCGACATTCTTGAACATTCACACGGCATGGTTTTCACACTCGAGTTGATCCTTAATGAAATCGAGTCTCTGCATGCGTTTTTTCACGTACTCGGTTTGCGCGGCTTGTAATTTCTCCATGGCTATATTGTGCCTCTTTCGTTCTGCTTGTACCTCGGCCGCGGCCGCGTTCGACTCCCATAATTTCGAGAAGAGGTAATTGCTCCTGGAAAATGCCAGGGCGTTGACTAAAGCCCCACCGACCATCATAGCGATCGTAGCCATTCTATATATATTTATTTTACTTTAAAATATTTTCCGGTATGATTCCTTGTTTTACGAGGACGCCCTTGGTGGCCATCGCCATCCTTAAATTCATGATGAGCATTGCCATATACTGCAGGTCGAAATCGAGTTTGATCGTCGGTTGTTTGAGAACCATTTTGGTTAAACGAGCGTATCCTACAGCTAGACCGGCGACCATGGTTGCGTGGTATGCATCGTTAACGAATGTTTTTCCTTCAGACTTATTACCCCAATTAGGGGTTGACCTCTAATTGTGGTTGCGGTGTGGGTTTTGGTGCTGGTTGTGGTTTATTATATAACATAAATAATGTTGTCACGGCAGCAGCAGCTGCGCCTGCAGCAACCCACAGAGTATAATTTTTTGTCGTGGTGCTTAGCTAAACCACCTTTTCTACCGGCGGCGACTCTTTTAGGGTTCTTCTTCTTGGTGACTTGTGTCGGTATTTCCTCCCCCCTGCTCCTGTGTTGGAGTCGGAGTCATTTCTTGCTGGGCAGTTTCCATCTTGTATACTATTATTATTATTTTTTCCCTCTTTAAATTGGCAATGCTTTGCTGTGATGATTGCCGCCGTCACCGGAGCTAAAAACATACCATATTTGTGGTACAACACACAGCTGACGGCGCTCAAAGCGTGTTCGATGAACAGATCTTTCTCGAGATCTTCCCACAGGTAAAGTCGACGTTCCGGGGGAATGGGAAGGAAGTACGACGCTAAACCGGTGTAGATCTGCGTCATGGTCGACCCTATAGTTTTTGTCATCTCGGCCCCGAGCCAGGTTTCGTATCTCGCGTACAGCTTATCGATCTCATCGGGAGGCATTTTTTGAATTTTATCGGGAGTGTGGTCGCTGCCCAAGTATTGTTTGGCTTTGCCGCCGACTGCCAGCGCCACCAGTCTATCTCTTATCATCCGGCAATACCAACATTTGTTCGAGCAGTTCGTTGCACTCCATCTTATAATGTAACAAGTGATTTTTAATTCTAATAATATAATACCCGATGCACACAAAACATAGCGAGATATAAGTTAAGTTACACACGATGAGAATTTCAAAAGTCGACATTTAATATAAAACCATATCAACATGATATAACTGAAATGAAAACAACATAACCGAGTGACCAGGAAAGTGCTGATTCGCGGTCATAGTGACCAGGAAGTTGGCTGGGGATTCAAAAGTGGTATGAACACTAGCGGAGAGATAAGGGCCTGACAAAAGCTTTATTTATGAAATAAAGCTTTACAGAGTCTTTTGTCAGAAGTGATCTCGTACCGCTATTGTATATACTACTCCACATAATGATGATATTAGGTCATCCCTTATTCCATGAAAGTTAGGAAAAAGCAGATATTGTCAGAAATATACTTTATCACTGAACTCAAGTTTTTGGAGAGGGATTGTGAGTATGAAGGCCAAACTCATGACTGTGAGAGAAAGGATTGTTTCAGGAACAAAGACACTACACGTTAAAGAAAAGCTAATCAGTGAAGGCAAGAAGTAATGCTAACACATAGCAAAAACACATGAACTGGCACAGACTCAAAATAATTAAAAGCATATGTGGGAAAGCGTATCTCTGTCTAACAAGTTTCTATTTGATGGTCCCAAAAATTTAATTCCATAGATATTTAATTCCATAGATATTATTATTCTTTTAATCTTTATCTTTTATACATAATGTCCACTCTTATTCTCTCTGGGCTGGGGGAATTTTGATTATCTCCTTTTTGTGAGCCACCACATGTTGGCCTACTGAATTCTGCATGTTTTCTCAGCCTGAAAGAATAAATGCCAGTCTTATTCCAATTCATATATTTTTGTTATTATTGTGAGATTACTTAAAGTGTTATTTTATGTCATAAAAGATATTTTGAGTTAGGACAAGAGTTACCTCCCTTAGACCACATCTTCACCTTTTATGTACACTACAGTAGAATAGAGTTAGCTACTTTTGAACGGCTCTGCAATCACCTACGCTTCTGCGACAAAATGTGCACGCTTGCACTGCACTTGACAAAAATCCCTCCCAACCAGTCTTATTCCAAGTCATGTATTTTTGTAATTATTGTTAGATTACTTAAATGAAAACTTGAAAATACATCTGTACTAATTAGTTTGAATAGTTTGTCACTCTACAAAAATCTAAATCTATATCTTGCAATACCTCATTGTGCTATGTTATAATACCTCATACATTCATACATGTGTGTTTGGTGTAGCCTTGGCATCGCTTAAAAATATAGTCGATTCAATCAAAACAGAAAAAATCAGGTTATTTGTTTTGTTGCCTTATCAGTGATAGAAAAATAAATAAAAATAAGAACTTCAAACCAAAGCAGCAGTCAACAGGACCAATGGTTTAACAGTGCCAGAAATGTAAAAAGGGGTCAGTTTGGCAAGGTTTGCCCAAATCATTCACAATGGGACCTTTATTACAAAATGTTAATATTCTGCCCAGGATTCATTTTGATAAAGCATTATTTTTGTTCTTTCAGGGCACTTTATTGAACAAGTTCCCCATTGAAGCTGGTACGATGGAGCCATCTCAGAGAATAATACCAATCTTGCCAGGTATGCATAAAGAATGATGTCATACAAATGTGTTTTTCAAAGCTGTAAGTCTGAACAGAGACAGAGAGATAACACAAGCAAAAACTGATGTAGAATACTGTAAACGTACTTATTTTCGCGTGGTGCAATTTTCGCGGAATTGACAGTGTAGACTACATCGCGCGGTCAATTATTCGCGCAATCAGTAATTGCCGGAACTGCCAGCTGTCTCTTTGGCCGCCACTAATAGCAGTGAAAACAAACAGAGTGGCTTAACCTGTCAGGCGGCGTTTATTGCTTACTCACCGGAAATCCCTATCTGTGCGATATACTAATCCGTTTACTCCCGGAAGAGATGAAAAACACATCAGTCTTATGTTCCGAATTCTGACGATTTGACGAATTAACTTATACTGTATATGAAGCTCTTTGTGATTTCAAACAAGCCGGGTTGTTGTGAATGAGATGATTGAGTGTTAGTGACTATTCGCTTCATGATGTACTGGTGAATAAAATCTTAATGAATAAATGAAATACTGCTGTATTATTTCTTTCCGAGTCGTTTCACAGTAATCTGTTTTGTATCAAACCATCTTTCATGTGACCAATTTCCATGGCGGCCACAACACACATTGCTGTTTTCGCTAATTCGGCAATGGGATTTGGCTCATTATTTAATTATGTTTTGGGAAATCCATTACAGCGACAGTTAAGTATGATCAGTCGTCATTTTAAGATTCCCGTTGATTTCTGTCTTCAAACGTGATGTGTTATGGTAACAACTCAGGGGCGAAAAGCACGAAAAAAAACCTGGGCGAAATATAATACGTTTACAGTATTATAAAAATCTGAAGAGCAAAAAATATCTTTATTCCTTTGAATACATTATCTGCATTACATCATGGCCAATATTCTTGCAATTTTGTTAGCATTACATAGAAAAGGCTTTTGATTTTCATTTCTGTATAGTAGCCATTCTAATCAGTTGGAAAACCAAACAGTGTGCCAAATGCCTCAGAGTAACACTTGTTGTATTTAGATAAGCACATTTCATGATATTGGTAACTTTCATTGCAAATATAAGATGTGGAAAAATATTTTCACATGCATGTTTAATTACACTGGTTGTTTGGCTCCATGTGCTGTCATAGGTGACCTACATGGAGTTAACATTATTGTCCCTTTGATATATATAAGGGAGTTTGTCATTTTCTTCGTATTTTGTAGTAATATAGCCATATAATTCTTACAAATCATTTGTTTTTATTATGTCCTTTCCATAAACCCTGTATTTTGGCCGCAGTCGCACTAAAACTAAACTTTTCAACTTTGAACTATCCCCCTGACCCCTCTGTCATCGTCCTTCCTGGTTCTACAGGCACTTCACCAAGCTCTAGATAGTGTTCCAGACATTGTCAAACAAGCAAAATCCATACTTGAATATGTCGTTAAAACATTGAAACCTGGTTTTTGAGATACCAGTTCTTCATACACTGGTGACCTCACTTGCCTCTCAAGTGGACTACTTGTCTATTGTGGAAGGTTCCTCCTGGCCACCATGTGGTTCTCACACAGGCATCTTGTTTATAACAGGACCATCACAAAGACTTGTTTTGTCTGCTATGACCACCAGCTGTTGTTATGTATAAAGTTTATTCAGTCAGGAACAGTGTTATATTTTGACTTTGAGGTTTAGAAGGTACCACATCTGCATGAACTTTCCAGCATAGTCTAACCCAGAAATTTCCAGAACAGTTACACTGTTTATAAGTGGCACACCTTTGACTCGTTCATCTCACATTACATCTCACATTAAAAGAAGACCAGCAGTTTTGTGAAGTTTACTTTCACCATGGATTCTCTTTCTGCATGGTGTCCTGTGCCACGCATTTTTTTTAGGCCATGGCCTTCACTGGTTCATGATGTCAGCGAAAACTTTCCAGGACTGACCCCCACAGTCGCTGTCCCTCTTGTATTTAACAAGACAGTTATGCTGCATATTCAGTGGACCTCAAATGTATCATGTGTGATAGATTGTCAGATGAAGATTTCACTGCATATTTGAGAGCCATTGCCAAACAGGAAGCAGATCAGCAACATAAAAAGAAACGTCCTTCTTCTCGGGATCAGGCTAAGGATGTTGTTTTAATTCATCAAAGGTTTGTCGTCTTGGGCGAAAAATTCTGCAGAACAGCCCACTGTTGACACTTCGTCATCTTGTACTGATCTGGGCATCTCATCTCACTCGATCAACCAACCAGAATCTAGGTCACAAAGTGGGTCATTCAGTCAAGACTGAAGTGATAGTGTCTCCAGCGCGGACTGCTGCTACGATGCTGGACAGAGAGAGCACAACACGTTACCTCCCTTGTTGAATGAGAAGAATATCAGCGATGGACTACGTGCTACTGTTAAAAAAATATAGTGCAGTGAGATTCGTCAATTTCTACACCAGCTGTAACTACTGCACCTAGTGACCTTGTTGACACCCCCTCTCGTCTTGAGTGAAATCGTATTGGTCGTCAATCGTCAGAGGGATACTTCATCAGATTGTCATGAATGACATAAACAATCATGAATGTCACATGACCGTTTCCAGCACTGTTCACCAATCATGTTTTCATGCTTTATGAGTACTGGTATGTAAAGTTCACAAACACATCAGGAAAACACATAAAAAATTACATTAAATCTGCGAGTGGAGAAAAATATTGACAGTAATGTATATGTAATAGATCATGTGAGGAGCAAGAGTATATCCACTTGATCTAAAAAAGATTGTTTTTGAAATACAAATTAGGAAAGAAATATGTCACATAGATCTAGCCTAGACTTGCGTGTATGGCCATCATACTGTCTTCATAAGACTGGATCATTTCCATGGTTCTTTGACTCCCAGAGTTTTCCAGGCACTGTCAGTGGTTTTCAAATAGAATACAATTGTTAATAAAGTCACATTTCTTTGATGTTCACTGGTCTACATCAAATTCATTTATGGGCTGATTTTCAGTTAACTATTGTTTCAACTTTGGAATCTCAATTTGACACAGTGATGTACCTGCACCTGTAATACTCCATTTACAAACTTTGGATCGTTTTGTTGCGCCCTCTAAGTGCAAACATCTTACCTGAGTCATGGACACTGTAAGTTGATGACCCGCACTCAGTGGATCTTGTACTTCCTCCTTCCACTCCTTGACTCAGATGCAGACAATGAGGATCATCATCATCTGTCACTGCCAAGGGAATATGGATCCAGGCAGCTCCTCCTCTGATGCCTGAGGATCATACATACTCACTCACTCACTCACTTTTTCTTACATCATTTATATACGGGACATACCAGTTAGAAGTGATATAGTCTTCATTCTTTTTCAGAGAGATTGTCCATGGGGTACATATATGCATTTTCTGCGTCTGAAAATGTCATGTGACAGTTGTATCAATGTTTTAAGAAGATATTGTACAATAAATAAAAAGCCTTTTAATCTATTATACGGCCCCCACCACGTGGAGTTACCCCCCTGCCATGCATGCGTGGCCAACCAGGTAAGGACCCAGGCCCGTATCATCATTCCTTCTGCTGTCACACATCGTGTTCACACGCGCCTTGACTGTGCTGACCAATTCTAAGATGTCTGAGTCTTCAACTACTGTATGTATGGTCTTTTTTCGTTCTTTAGAACGCTCTTTTGACTTTGCAGTTAGTTATTTCTCATTTATGTGACTTTTGTATCAAAATTTTACGCTCGCTTTCCTGTAGTTTACGCACGTGTTGCTATTCCATGGCGGGAAGTTTAGCGTGCCACGTGGTTGAAATATTGCTTTATATACAATTATTTCATGTTGCGTTGTCGCATTCACATATTTTCAATGTTTTATACGTGTTATTGCTGTTTCTGTTGTATTTGGCCATTAGCTACATGCTTTGCGTGTTTGCTTTCAGGCGTTTACGGTGTGAGTTGCCTGTGGGCAAAAATTGCCGCCACAGGACAAACACGAGAAGTGTTTATGCTGCCTAGAGAAAGCTGGGCACAACCCAGACGTGTGCAAGCTCTGCCTCGGCTTTTCCGCCAGAGCGCAAAAGAGGCGAGCTGCAGATTTCCTCTGCTTTCAGGAATTGAGGGAGACGGGAGGGAACCCGGCTGAGGAACTTTCCCCGTCTAAATCTAAAACTTTCAACAGCTTGAACAAAAAATGCTTGAAATACCTTTGTATGGTTTACATGTAATAACTTATGATATTACTTCTGTCTATGTCTAAGAATGTTTTGAAATACCAACTTATTGTGTTTTGTAACAAGCGTACTAAATCATTTCATTGTTGTAATAACACTGACAAGTATATATATTCGATGCAAAGGTGCGAGTTATCACTTTATATACGATTAGGTAACATTATCAACTTTAGATTATGAAAAATAAATAGTTACAATTCAGTAAGCTTTAAATTAGTAAGTTATTTATGTCTGATCTATTCGAGCATGGATGTATAATTAGTTGTGTTTACGATTCATTATATGTCACACATGACAATGTAATTATGATTTGTTTGAGTGGCATTCTAGAAGTTGCTGGTATAGAGATGACAAGACTTTATGGATGATCAACTTCTTTATTTTAACAATGGCGACGTTTCAGTATAGATTCTTATACCGTTTTCAAGCATATGGGGGAATGATGGGGTGCACCAGTACATGTAATAATACCTAAAAAGTAAATTGAAACTATTCTATTGTGTTTGAATTCTTAGTATGTCCTTGAAATTTGGTATATTGTTTCCTATTTATTAGGTAGTTGAAGAAAATATAATCTTCAGTAACCTATAAAACATTATATCTAATTCAATCAATGTGCATAAGAAGCATTTTAGCATCCACTCCCAATGAAGTGTACCAGACACTTTCCTGTGTAAAAAACATCTCATAATCCCCTTTCTTGCCGACATGTGTTCGCTGTATAAGCCTATGATTATGATTAGCAATTGGTATTAAAACATTTTAAATACTTCTTCTGATTAACACTAAAGGATGCATCTCGTACGAAAAGCTAATCTTTGCTCAGTACTACTAAATTGGTTGAAATAATAGGTACAGTGCGATTTTTTAAAGTACGACACACATGTGCGTCTCTCGCTGAATAAGAGGTGCTTTCTGTTGTTGCACATGTGCGTCTCTCGCTGAGTAAGAAGTGCTTTCTGTTGTTGCACATGTGCGTCTCTCGCTGTGAGGAGCTAATTAATTTGTCGCACATGTGTGTCTCTCGGCCTTATTGAGTTAAAGCATTTGCTCGTCACACTGAAGACCCGGGCTCTATTCCCTACATGGGTACAATTTTTAAGCATTCAATGCGAGGTAGAGATTAAGGTGCTTCTGTTTTTGCATGTAATGCAAACACTTTTGTGGATAGACCATTTGAACCTCATAAAAAATTACTTTGATCTTTTTCAGGAAAGATCTTGTTTGGACGGAGTCACATCCGAGAGGTGGCCTTAAAACGGTTGAAACCTATTGATGAATACTGTCAGGTTAGTATTTATTCTGCACTCCAAGTGCTCCAGTTTTTTTACAACTGACTTATTTGCTATCAGTATGTCTCTTCAGGGTCAAAATGGTCCTTGCTAGCAAAGACGTTTTTGAATACCCACTAATTCCCCCAAAAGCCATAAACAGTCATCTCTCGCCATAACCCAGATCTTAGGGTCCATGGATGATTTCCTGTGTTATAAGACACCCACGTTATACGTAACACGTAATAAAGGCCAAGTATTATTGTAGTTTCCATGGACATAGACATATTTTGTGTATTGGGCCCAGTCAAAACTATTTAAGAAATACAGTTCACTCTACCGCCATGTATAGAGCACACTTTCGCCTTAAACTATTATAGTTAAAGTACGAGGACGCTTGCGTCCGAGTGCTTTAATGTTATAATAGTTCAGGGCAAAAGTGTGCTTTATTACACTATACATGGTGGTAGAGCGAACTGTATTTCTTTCCTAAGATGCCAAATTTAATACTTTCTAAGGATAATTATGATTAATTTACAGCAGAAAACAAACGACGGTGTCGGTGACCTAAATTAAGAATCCTCGCACAGGGCTAACTGGCGCGCTGTTCTATTGATGTGTCTGCCCCCCTACGTTAAGAACATTGCCAGAAAAAAACAAATGATAACAGTTTCATGACAGTTTACATTCGGATTAAGTATCTTCTCTGAATTATTTTAATTACATCTGTCATTAACGTAAACCATATGGGGCAATATGAACGTCGCATTTCTGCTACCAAGGTAAGTTTAGAACAGTACATCCAGATGAAGCTGAGTAGTCAAGCGACATTCCATGATTGCATAGTGGTAATGTAAACATTGCGAATGTTACCATGTCGCTTAAAACTTGCGGGTGGAATTGACACATTTTAACCGTCATAAAACATAAATGTAATGTTTCCACCAGTGATGTTAGCTGCGTGAAGCAACTGCAAACCAAGAAACGGGATGCAACGGAGTAGTTTACTGTAGGAGGCCGTACGAGGCAATGACAACTGACATGCATTGTGACGTCGCTTACATTGTGACGTAATGTAAAATGGTTCGATTATGAGGGGGCACACTAGAATGGCCAAGACACAAGTACCCAAGACACCGTTACTGTGTATACATGAAGGGAAAATGTGTTATTATGCAAAAAATTGAGACATTATATGTTTAAAACAGCTATTTATGGTAAATATCTATTCACTGAACTCCCAGACATCTCTATATTGCCATACTTATTGTGATCTGTTTAAAACAAGAATTTTATAAATGTTATGATAACCATCGTAGCAGTTAAAAATAACTTGAACTACTAACGTGTTGATCAGGGGTGTAAGTGATGTAAGATATGGTTGAAGATGAATGTCCACAATGTCACAGAATATATAGGTTAATATCTATCCTCAGATGCTGCAGTCTTCAGGCATCACAATCACTAGTAGAGTCTTTGAATGGCATTTAGAAGTGATAAACATAAAGGCATAAATTCACCTGATAGGGGGAGTAAGAATATACTCCTAACTGTTGTTTCCATCTCAATAAAGAAGTTGACATCGATAACATTCTTGCCTTTAATCACCACATACACAATAGGGCAGGAAACAAACCCATTTTTGGGGGGTGATTTGATCAAATTGAGAGGTATACATGATCTATATATCAAATTAAAGCTGAAGACCTATAGAATAATATTAGACATGATGTGGAAATATTCGCGTGGACACTTTCTGGTAAAACCGGATTTTGGGTCAAAAACACTAAAAATCATAATTTTCCAAATATCCTTATTAATTTTCAAACTATTGACCCCATTCAAACAAATTCACCATCAAATGAAAGGTTGCTCTCTGTACAATAGAAAAATAATAGTGATTGCAATATTTAGACGTAAAATTTTCATTGCATGATTGAAAATTTGGGTAAAAAATGTAATTTTCGGTCCTCCTTTTTTATCAGGTATGATACAGTAGAAGAATAATAAATCTAATTGGAATAATTTCAAAATTACCTTTTAATCACTCATCACTATCATCATTACAGGTAAAGATAGATTAATATCTCTAAAATAGAACATTGTTAAAGATACTGAAATATAAGTGTAATGTGTTAGGAACCAACAATCCTTCAAACTAGATTCACTTGCTGTTCTTTTTGTAAAGCAATAGTATGTCTTGTGTTAAAGGTTATTGTAATAACTAACAACTTGGAAAAGGAATATGATTATTACACAGGTCATTCTTCATTGTCACTGGTTATCTTCACCAAGATCATTCATGCAAGGACACAGTTCAATACAGATTGCTCTGTCTAGAAATGCACCACACCGAGGAGCATGGGGATTTGTAGCAGGTGCAAACAAGGCAGTCAAGAACTTCCGAAGCAGTTTGATGTTCAAACAATGTGGGGTTGAGCAATCCATTCACCCTAGTCCAGGCAAAATCTTCAAGGTTACCAAACTCTGGTTTACCACAATGAGAACTTGTCCAGATGCTAGTTTGCGGCATCACACGCTTAACATGCTGTCGAAAGCTGTCTTCGCATGAGGGAAGTTTGGCAAGCTCAATGTCTGTTGAAATCTCATGTCATTCAAAGAGTGATGTGGTTTAACCTTCTTCCTGGGGTCATACAAGGCTGACGTTAGATTGCCTGCAGACCTCCACTGCTGCATCAAGGTTTCCTGAAGATAAGACTTGATGACTTGAAAACAGATCTTTATCTTTCATCTTTGTCTTTGTCTTCTTGCCAACATGAAAATAATGCTGATGACGTATCTCAGCCAGTAAAGGCATGGACTCCTGGCAAGGCAAATGACATTGATGATCCAAGAAGATGGCAGATGTTATGGACATGATTGAACCGGTGCTTGTCCGTGACTTCAGAAGACACTCCAGTTTTCACGGACATGCTCCATTTGTGGACAATAGCAGATATATAGTATGAGAACATCTGTATCAGGGGACTTGATGATGATACTTCCTTGGGTATGCCTCTCTTCAAACTCACCATTGCAGTACATGGCGTTGAAGAGCATGCATGTATCAACTTCTTCTTGAGAACATTCACGTGCATCAATGCAAGCATCACCAGTGGGAGGGATCAACTTGGTCACCATTCCATCTTCATATCTTCCTGAGAGATACAATCCTCCTTGTTGTTCTGTTGACATTGTAGCAACTTGGACTTTGGTACACAAAACGTTGTTAACTGTGACATGTTCTCAGAAACTTGTTCCACTGTGGAATCTGTCTGCCTGATGACACTTGATACTTCTTGCCGGTGTTGAGGTCAGCCCTTCGTGAACGTTCTGCAGACTTAGTGGAGTTGCGATTGTCATACTGGTCGAACATATCTATGACAGTATCAGCCCTTGTGAAACACTGCTTCATATTTTGCATATAACTGTCAGCAACACTATCCAACGCGGAGGGAATGGCAGGTTTCATACTTATCAATATTGCCATTGTATCGCGAATGTGGACAGTGTCTTTTTGTCAAAGTCTGGTAAAGTGTCAATATTCTGTACAATTTCTTCTAATTTGTCTGTCAAATCGGCATTGGATGTCTTCCTCCTTGATCCATCTTCATTGAAAAGTAATGTAGGAACTGATCCTATGGGATGTGCGAGAACCTTAGCCATTGTGACATCATCACGACAATCTGTCAGACATAATGGTCTTCTAAAGACCATTTCTGCGTGCAAATGCACAAGTCGAACAGTCCCATCTTCACTAAGAATCTATGATAAAGCAAATCCTGACCACAAAGATCATTTCCAAACAACTGCACAAGTCTGGTAAAAACATCGTCTTGGCTCAATTGGGCAGTGATTGTAATTCTCCAGGTGATAAATTTGTTCGAGCACTAATTATGATGCAGTACTCGGCAGATGAATGTTTACTCTTTTGGACTTGGCCCCTTTAAGTCCATGTCTCTTTGAAGTTAACCTGAAATAAGGAAAGTTTCATCATTAAATCTTCTTACATTTATTAACAGTAGAACATATTTCATAAAGAGAGTGGGTGGTGGGGTAGTACAGTGGTTAAGGGTTAAAAGTTAAAAGCTCATCACAATGCTGAAGACTATTGGTTTGATTCCCCACATGGGTACAATGTGTGAAGTCCATTTCAGAAAAGTGTCCCCACAACAAAATAAGAGCTTTTGTTATGTTTAATATTCATTATGATGAATATATGTGCTGAAATGTTGCTAAAAGCAATTTTGCAAACAAGAGAAAATTATTTCAAAAGAAATGTCTTTTAAAAAATACAAGCTTTCATTATGATGCTACATGAAAATGATAGCAATTTTTTTTTAAATATGTACATTGTATTTTAAAAAATCAAGATATTATTAATAAATAAAAGAATGTATGTGAAACTATTAAAGATAAAAGTTTAACAAATAAAGAAATCTAATGCGCAGTTTTGAAAAAAACCTTTGCAATCAATTTTCTTGTTATATTTTACCAAAAAAATTCAAATTTAATTAAAAGGTATTTTAGTGAAAATAATTTTGGACAGCATGCACATATTGAATTATATCTATGTTTATAAATATAATTCAATCTAATAAATATTTTTTGAAGAAATTGTCCTGTCAAATTATAAGGTAGTGTTTATATTTTGGTGGAAAAAAAAAAATATATATAACAAAATTATGTTTGGGGAAATTATATACGTTAAGAAAGAAATTATTTCATTTCTACATTTTTATAATCAACATATCTCCTTTAAAAATCACTTCAAAACATATTTATTGCTAAAATTGGTGTGTTTTTTTAGTTGAGGATCACAATCGGGTAATATTAAGTTGTAGGGAAATATTGCTTACACTGACAATGCATTTTATACAGGGTGGCCTTCTCAGGGTTTCAGAATGTTATCTGTACATTTTTTCAAAACTTCTTTGAAAAGAATCATCAAAAACCTAATAAAATCATAATGTTATAATATCTGAAATATAATTGGACCAATAATAGAAAGATCAAGC